GGGCGCGGAGGAGGTGCTGCTTGGCGCGCACTCCGCCTCGGGCCTGCCCTGGTGGGGCAGCATCCTGCTCACGACCGTGGCCTTGCGCGGCGCCGTCACGCTGCCTTTGGCCGCCTACCAGCACTGCATCCTGGCCAAGGTGAGGGGCGCCCCGCAGTGCAGGTTCCTTGCGCGTCTGCTCTCGCGGTGGTGCGATCGGCGTTAACCCGGCGTGTCGTCCCACGCTGCTGCCTGCTGGAGTGCTTGGTGTCCGTCGGCACGACCACTGTGTAGTTAAAACACCTGGCCGGGCGTGGGAGGGGAAGGGGGGGCTCACGCCCCTCATCCCAGTACTTTGGGAGGCGGAGGGGAGAGGATCGCCTGAGTCCAGGGGTTCGAGACCAGCCTAGGCACCTTGGCGAGACCTCGTCTCTACAGTAAATCAAGAAATTAGCCGGGCGTGGTGGCGCGCGCCTGTAACTCCAGCTACTTGGAAGGCTGAGGCGGAAGAGTCGCCTGAGCTTAGAAGATGAGGCTGCGGTGGCTGTGAGTATGTCACTGCACTCCAGTCTCGGTGACAGACTGAGACCCCGACACCCCCCCAAAAGAAGGTAGCAGTGGATGCGTTAAGTAAGAATGACACAGGTCCCTAATCATTGCTTTTGCAGTGAGCACAAGTGGTCATTAAACTTCCTCTCAGAGAATCGTGGCTTAGGAGTCAGTAGCAGTAGACGGTGTGTAGAGAAGCCTGTAGAATTACCCACCTTAGAGTTTTGACAGCCAGTGTGTCTGCAGCATCTTTCGTCCCACCCACGGAATCTTTCCATTAGGCAGAAGCTACTGAGCTAGCAGTTTGTGAGCTGAATTTCTTCTTCTTTTTTTTTTTCTGAGTTGGAGTCTCACTTTGTTGCCTGGGCATGCTCATGGCCATCGCAGCCTCGACCTGATGGGCTCAGGTGATCCTTCTGCCTCAGCCTTCCAAGTAGCTGGAACTACAGGCATGCACCACCACGCCTGGCTGATTTTTGGATTTGTTGTAGAAATGAGGTCTGCCAAACTACCCAGACTGGTCTTGAACCCGTGAGCTCAGACAATCCTCTCATCTCGGCCTCCCAAAATGCTGGGAGTACAAGCGTGAACCACCGCGACTGGCCAAATCATGTACCCTTATCGATGTGTACCCCCCTCCCTCTGGCATTTTCCGGCTACTGCCAATTCCCTTCTTATGGTATTATGGTAAATATCAGGGTCTGCTTAAGAGTGAGCAAACTAGATTTCTTATCCAGGCCCTACCACTTACAAACCTGTCTGGTTAGTTGTTATCACCGGACCTTTCAGTGCTTCGTTCTCTGTTCTCTGGAGTCAGGAGAGCCATACATACCGTCCTTTCTTACTTCGCGGTGTTATGAAATCAAGTCAGATAATATTAGTTGAAGGCCTTTGAAAACATTGAGGGACCGGGCTCGGTGGCTCAGCCTGTAATCCCGCGCCTTTGGGGGGCTGAAGTGAGTGGATTGCCTGAGCCCACAGGTTCGAGACCCGCCTGGGCAGGCGAGACCTCAACTCTACAATAAATCAAAAAAATTAGCCGGGCGTGGTAGCGTGCGCCTGTAGTTCCAGCTACTTGGAAGGCTGAGGCGGAAGGATTGCCAGAACCCAGCAGGTCGAGGCTGTGGTGGCCCAGAGCGGCCACTGCACTCTAGTCTGGGTGACAGTGAGACTCCAACTCAAAAAAAAAAAAAAAAAAGAAAACACTGAGGGATTATTCAAATGTGAGATTTCAAAAATAGTGGCTTTCATATGTTTTTAGTTATGATCATTGGGAAAAAAACAAGCAAAACAGGTAGAGAATTAGCAGCAGTATGAAGGAGATCGTCTACTTTTCAGAAAGAACACAGGGTAGGAATACAAGCGATTTTTATTTTTGACTTTGTGGCTATCACAGAGCATATTAAAGACTTCCTAATAGACCACTGCATTCTCCATTTACATTACTGGGAAAATCTAGGGATAGAAGGTAAAGTCCAGAGTACAGTTCTCATTAGTTCTTGTAACCCTAGGAAGTAGATGCTGTAATACATTCTATATGTGAGGGAACAGAACTTTAGAAGTTAAGTTACTTGCCCACGATCACACAGTTAAGTGTACATTTTGAATTTGGTTGAAACTGAGGACATTTTAAGCAAATTAATATCTTTTAGTTTGTTTTTGAGTCAGAGTCTCACTCTGTTTCGCAGGCTGGAGTGCAGTGGCACACTTACAGCCACCCCAGCCTCAACCTGGTAGGCTCAGGTGACCCTTCTGCCTCAACCTGCCAAGTAGTTGGAACTACAGGCACATGCCACCATGCCCGGCTAGTTTTTTTTTTATTTACTGTAGTGACAAAGTCTCACCAAGTTGCCTAGGCTGGTCTTGAACCCCTGGGCTCAGGCAGTCCTTTTGCCTCCTCCATCCAGAGTGCTGGGATGACAGGCATGAGCCACCACTCCTGGCGCAAATTAATATCTTAAGCTTAGACCTAATTTTTTTTTTTTTTGCATTAGGGTCACTCTGTCGCCCAGCTTGGAGTTCAGTGGTAGTACCATCATGGCTAATGCAGCCTCCACCTCCTAGGCTCAGGTAATCCATCCGTCTCAGCCTACAGAGCAGTACAAATGTATGTCACCATGCCTGGCTACGTTTTTGAATTTTTTGTTGAGACGAACTCTATGTTGCTCAGGCTGGTCTTGAACTTCTGGCTTCAAGCGATCTGCCCTGACAGCCTCCCAGAGTGCTGAGTTACAGGTGTGAGCTACTGCACCCAGCCTGTAGACTTAAGGTTTCTTGACATGGATCAGTTAACCACATTTTTTATATGATCTTATTTATGTTTTATTTTGGCATTTTCTGATTTCTCAAAGCCTAATGTCCCTTTTTGCCTTCAGGAGTTTTTGACAGTTCTGAAATCAGGAATTGTGCTCTGATTCTTTTTGAAAGCCCATACTGTGTATAAACCAAGCCTTATTTGTCAGCTTTCTCTGTCAATATGTAGTCTATAGCAGAGCATATCTTTCAGTGACCATGATTATTAGACTATAGAAATAAACACATCTATTGAACTGTAACCACTTTAAGTGTATAGGCCTGCCTAACAAACACTCAAAGTGAGTTATTGTTAGGTTATAATCCGAGTAGGGCCTCCAGAATGTTAGATCAGACCAGATCAGGAATGTCTGTGATCCAGTGCCGTGCAGAAGATGCAAAAAACCGGGAGCAGTGTCTCGAGCCTGTAATCCCAGCACTTTGGGAGGCCAAGGCGAAAGGATTACCTGAGTCCAGGGGTTCGAGACCATCCTGGGCGATTTGGTAAGACCTCGTCTCTACAATAAATCAGAAATTAGCCAGACATGGTGGCACACACCTGTAGTTCCAGCTACTTGGAAAGTTGAGGCAGAAGGATCTGAGCTCAGCTGGTCCAGGCTGCAGTGGCCTTGAGTATGCCACTGCACTCTAGCCTGGGCTGGAGTGAGACTCCAACTCAAAAAAAAAAATGTAAAGAATTGCACAGAAGTTAGATTGGAAAATGTAGTTTATTAATAAAGTAAATTAGGGAAAGGGAGAGAAAAGAGTCACCTCCCCAGGACAGGGAAGGGGGCCAAAGCTAGAAAAACATGGCCTGGCCATAGTTCAGTGAACACATGGCCTGGCCAGTACTTAACAAAATAATGGCCAGTCAACCATATTTTTGAATGAGCTGAAGGAATAGAGAATAAAATTATAAGTGCTTGTGAATAAAGATCCTTTATGTGCTCATAACAGATTCCACTTTTTCTTTAGCTAGGTGGAAAATTTACAACCAGAAATAAAAAACATTGCCAGTCACCTTAACCAAGAAGTTGCAGTTCGTGCAAATCAGTTGGGGTGGTCCAGAAAAGTGGCCAGGTAAGCTAAGTCTGTGCATATAAGGCCATGAATATATGTATAAAATGTTTAAATGGTGGTGTTAATTATAGATTTTATTCTGTAGCTTTGGCAGTAAAGCAGTTCTTTTACTTTTTCATATTTTAATAAGTCATTATGTGGCATGATAGTTTCATATATTGGCCTGAAAGCAAAGATAAGAAAATCATGTTTCTGTTCATGAAGGTCTCTAGCCCACTGAAAAAGACATACCTGTAATCAAATAGTAATGACAGTGATGTAAATAGTATATAAAGACTATGTACAAGAAGTTACATTATCAAGGGAAATCAGGGAAGGTTTCACAGAGTGAAGATAACTGCCATTTTGTTGTAACATTGGCCAACAAATGACAAATTATTTTCAAACTTGACCTTTTTGAAAAGATACAGCAGGTAATAGCCCACAGAATACAGGAGGTAGAAAACTTAAATACCACAATAGAATCACTTGGATAGCCAACGTGGTGCTGTCTATAATCAGTTTCCCAAATTCTGATTCTTACTAGACTGTGAGAGTATTCACAGCAATGAGAAAAACAAGGGCTTTGTTATACGAATATATGTTGGTTTTTTTTGTTTGTTTGTTTTTGAGTTGGAGTCTCACTTGGTCACCCAGACTGGAGTGCAGTGGCCACTTCCGGCCACTGCAGCCTCGCCTCCTGGGTTCCGACAATCCCTCCGCCTCAGCCTTCCAAGTAGCCGGAATTACAGGCATGCGCTACCACGCCCAGCTGATTTTTTGATTTATTGTAGAGATGAGGTCTCGCTGCCCAGGCGGGTCTCGAACCCGCGGGCTCAGGCGATCCACTCACCTCAGCTTC